GAGCCGCTGTCTCTGACTGCGCCTCCTCGGGAGTTCTGCCGCTTACCTCTGGCCTCTGAGCTGTAAAAGAAAACCCCCAAAGTAACACTAATAATAAAAAACCCCCGAGCCCGGAGCGCCAGGAAGCTAGCGAAAGTAGTCGTTTCCCGCTTTGCTCCAGCCGGGAGCCGCTCGCCGGCGCTCCCCGAGGTAACGCTAGGTGGAGCGGTGAGCGCGGCGCAACTTGTTCCCAACCGCTTTTTTGGAGGGGGGCTGGGGCCAGCGCGGTCGCTCAGCGCTTGGGCGTGACGCGTGGGGTTTTGTGCACGCTGTGTGTGTCCCGAGAGGTCCTGCGGGTCTCTTTGAGCTGTGACGGTTCCATCTAATAAGGCGTGCTCTCCCTCTACAGATCGGGACTTGCTTATGTACAAATTAGAACTGCTTTTTCTACGGACGCGTGTATGAGACTAACGTGGTGGACCGTGGCAGAGTATCCAGGCTCAGCTGGCAACGCGAGGAAAATTTTGATGATGGCGTAGCAATCTGGGCAGGCTTATTTATCGTGGGTTTTTTTCGGTGGGGTCACCGGATTCGCATTATGCTGCGAGACGCCGAGCTGGGCTACGCCTGCATCAGAGGGAGAGGGGCTCAGAGCAGGGCCCTGCCTTTGTGAAAACCGGCTGTTCGCAGCTGCGCTCTGACACGGGTCTGAAGGCTTCGTCCTTCTCTGTGTCAGAAGGTGATCTTTGTTTGTAGTGGCTAACAGCTGTAACTTGAGGGACTTAGTGAAGTGTAGAAATGCCATTACCTGCTAACCTATAAGTTTCTTCGGTTTTAAATTGAAATGCTTTTGAAAGCGTAAGCATTCATTTTTAGGAGACAATAACTAGATGTTTTGAATATTTTGAGCATAAATTCCTTAAAATATTTGTTATAGATGTGACAGCTGAGGCAGTAGGTGTAGCTATTGCTGCACCTCCATCAGAAGGGGAGGCAAACGCAGAGCTGTGTCGCTACCTCTCTAAGGTGCTAGAAGTGAAGAAGAGTGAAGTTATTTTAGAGAAGGTACTTCTTTTTTGTTTTTTCCCTTTCAGTCTTGCCCTACTACAGTTTAAATTCAAGATTTTTAAACTCACTCATTGAGTACAGGGAGCTGATCTCCAAGTTCAGTCCAAAAGACACTTCAAAGGTGTTTAGCTGAGTTAATGGAATGATTCATTGAGAACAAACATAGTGTAGGAAGAATCAAAGCTGACCTTGAGCTCTTTAATCAGAATAGTTCTCATCATGATGCATTTTCCAAATTTGTGTGGTTCGTGTTTTCTGTGTTCTTCAAAGATTCTCTTGTTTTCATGTCAAATGCAGTTCACAAAATCTGTGCTTTGCAGAGAATGTGCATTTTATTAATAACTTTTAATTCATTTTTTTAAGTAACTTCTGTATTTGAGTGAAAATTTTATGACAATTAACCGTTATATATAAGTAAGAGCATATATAAGCACTCGGATTATAGCTGGGCCTCAAGAGTTTCTTTGTATTAGAATTTACATGTCTTGACTTTGGTGAGTGGAAACTCTTTGTTTTATTCATTGCACTGAATAAATAATTTGTTTTATTAATTCATTGTACTTACAGTCAGTCCTTCCAGCAGTGTTCATTTATAGTTTAGGAACATAAGAGCCTAATGAAAAATTGTGCTATTTATTTTTGTCTGTTGGTTTAATGTAGTAGTTGTAGAAGTCTGTTAAAGGATAGTGGTAAATGGCAACAGGATCAATGAATTGAGCACTGTGTTGCCAAAAGGTAGAGATGTGAAGGTTTGAGTTTTGTTTTTCCTGAATCATGGCCAAACTGCTTCATTCGTTTATCAACATTTTACAGATAACACTGTTTTCCTACCTTGAAGGGATGTTCAGGTTTAACTATATTATTCTCATAAGTGCTAAGCAGAGGTGAACATAAAAGGGGCCAGTGTTGTCTGACCTTGACTCAGTTGTTCTGAGCTACGGTGTCCACATAATTACATGCTAGTGTTTGTTTTTCATAAGCCACTATTTGTTCTCAGTCAAGCATTTTGATAAAGTCTGTATTTTACCTGTGGCTTAGATTTTTCCATCCCGATCTGCTAGGTGTGAACAGCAAGTGATTTTTTGGTACTGGTTGCTCTCTGACGTGCTACTTGCTTTATGATAAGTGCTAACATTAACAAAACCAATTCAAGTTGGGAAATTGGTGGGAAATCATCCAGTATAAAACTGAGGTTACCAGATTTCTATGCAAGGGCCTTGATTTTCATCATCAGCTGGCTAGACTGCTTCAAAAATCTGTTTTTAATTTTAAATTTCATGCTGTATTTCTGTGTAGTAGAGTTAAGGACTTTCTCCTCCTTGAGGATGTCCCTTGTGGGCTTTTCAAACTTTTTGCCAAGCTGCAGATTAACAAGCAACTTGTTTCTCATGGTTTACTGAATACTAGCAAAGTTGTGTCTTCAGGCAATACGAAATGAAGTTGCAAGTTTGCCAGTTGCTATGTAAAATAGCCTTTTTTTCAGTAATGCAAAAACAGGTCAATATTTCAAGTAACTGCTGTATGAATCTGAGTGTCTTATGGGTTATATACGAAGTGATTTCATTTAGTTGATGTTATCAACCTGAGAACTCAGCTTAAGAGTAACTAATACTCTGTGGGAGACAACTCTGAAGAAAGATCAGAAAGTTATCAAATATACATACATATAAACACACCCACTTTTTAAAAACAAAAATGCAGATTAGTTGGAGTCTTGCTTCTGGATGACACAAGTCAATTATGGAAACTTATCACTGCTTGCTTTTTGTTCTAGCCTATAAAAAGAATATCAATTCAGGGCATGCTCTGGGAGCTGTATCCAATTTTAAAAGGAGAGTAGATAAGATGTTGTTTTCCACCTTTCAAATAACTGGAAAGGACATTGATGAGCTATCTCTTACTGCTGTTAATTCTTCATACCCACACTTTAAGAATTATTTTTAAAGTATCTGATATGTTGTCATTACAGTGAGATTATTTTGGAATGTGTATTTAGTGATGATTCTCTGAAAAATGTTTTTTTATGTGTGTCTAAACCAGGGTGGTAAATCACGAGACAAAGTGGTGAAGATTTTGGTATCGATGACACCAGATGAGATTTTAGAAAAACTGAAAAAAGAAGCTTCCAGTTGATGTAGAACAAGAGTGGGAGATGGGACAATGCATCTTGGTAAATAGACTGATATTCTTTCTTGTGTAAATCTAGTCCTGTTGAGAATGTGGGTAATGACTAGGGAAGGATACTTCTTCTCCCTGCCCCTCCTTGTTAATATAGCTGCTGTATAGTTGAAGTTTTTTGTGTAGGTTTGGTTAGAAAAACTCATCTTTACAGAGGCTCTGTGCCTGCTTCTGTCACTACAGACTTTTTTCCCCCTCTGGAGAGTTTCATGTTGGTGAATTTGTCCTCTTTGCTGGTCCCTAAACAAATGGTTTAGAAAACTTGTTTCTTAGTGAAACAAACTTTGGTTAACAAAGTGAAAGGCTTGGAGTGACAGGCTTCAGTGTGAAAAGTGGTACAAAAGGATGAGTCTGGATGGTAAAGACCCTAGAATAATGTTCTCTTCAATATCTAGTGGCAGTTACTGGATGCAGTTTTGCACTATGTGCACATATGTACATCTAAAATAAATTTATTTGAAGCCAATATACTGTTGTTGATCACACAGGCAAGCTAAAAGCACAATCACCTGAACAACTGAAAGAAAACCAGAAGTTTGCAGTATGAAAAACTGACCCAGAACCTGGTAATTGCATACACGGTGTCACTTCGTAATAGTCTGTAATTAGTTTCCTGAAGAGTAGAGATACAGTCATGTATCTTCGCCAAATGTAATGACTGTTTTTAATAAAAAGGGCAAAAAGTATTATCAAACTTTGTTTTGTGTTTATGTTTTTAACAAAAAAATTGTTTCCTAGAAGTCACTTATTAGAATGTTATTTTTAAACTTTTTTGCAATCTTTCCTTGGTTTAAAAATGAGTAATATTCCAACCCATAGAGAACCAAGCAGAGTCATTTGTAGAGTGGAACAAGAAGTCTGAAACAAAATGGGCAACTACACTCCACTCTCAGGGCTAATGAAAAGAAGACTTAACCTCTCTTTATTGTGCTTCAGAGGTCAGAGTAAGATTTAACTAGTATTTCCCAAAAATATGTGATATCACACATGTCTCTGGTAGGAGTTTGTTTTTTCATCTGCATCACTGCTGATGACTGAAATTGTCCTATCTTTACTATGGTTGTCATATTTAAAAATATATATATATAAATGTAATGCCTAAAGTAAAAAAAACTGCTCTGAAGGTTTGCTTAAGGTTTGCCGTACCCTCTCCTGGAAAACAATGTTATGAATGCATAAGTTACAGCTAAATTTCTCTGCTAGCTTCATGCAGTGCAGACTTAATAGCTCATAATTTAGTCTTTCATGAACAAAAATCTTTTGCTTTAGGAAATTCTTTCTGCTTCCTGTTATCCTAAATATTGCAACAGTTGCTTTTAGAGTTAGAGAACTGGTGCTTGTCAAGATGACAGCTCCTTCGAGGTGACTCATTTTAAAGATGTTATGAAAAATGTTACTTTCTTGTTTGGAGAACTAAGTCTAGATAGTGAATGCTGTTTGCTTAATGGTTTGCATCTGGGCTCCTTATTTCCCAGGCTCTTGGTCAGCCATACATTGCCACAGTTGCTTTTCCTTACTTGTCATTTTCAGTGTGTACAGGCTGATTTTGTTCTACTGTTCAGTCAGTTTTGGTACACAGCTTCTTGCTGTTTCATCTGTTCTTGCCCAGCAGAGGGGTACCATGTCTTACAGAAAAATTAAGGCAAAGCAAGCCAAAACTAAGTGTTCATGGGCTGGTTTTCTAAATTATTTCCTAAACTTCTTTTTATCGTGAGTTGAAAACAGCAATCCAAAGATTGAGGAATCCTGCATTTATAGGATGCTGCAACAGCCATTATAAAGATTTCTTTGGAAGCTAATACCATGTGTTACATTATATGTATTATATACTATATTGAAATAATGTATTATACTTTCCCATGACTTCAGACCCAGATTGAGGCAGGAGCTGGATAGGCAGGTACAGTCTCGGAAGTACATTGGTCTTGAATGATGATTATATACAACAGTAGCCAATTTAATCTTTTCGTTTCCTCTCTGTCTTGTCAACATGTTCTGCCTCGTCTTTGCTAGCTTCTGCTTCAGAGGTTTCACCTTTCCAAAACACCTTCAGCTGGCATTCTGCATCTTTTCTTCCTAATCAGTGAAAGTAACTTGAAGACAAATAGGGTGCCTTCACGTTATTATGCTGTCATTTTTATGTAATGTGAGTCAGGCATATTGTCATATTCATAACTTGTCAATCAGAAGACAAGTACTGTTCAGCTAGGAAGTTTATTAATCCTTGGGAAAACAACCACTGTGCCCTCCTCCCTATTGCATTTCTGTTTTGTATTGCATTTGCAAGTACGTGTGTGGGGAGAGAGGGAGCCATTTATATAATACTGATTTTTGTGCTTGGCCAAGCCAAGTCCTTTTTCTTTCATCTGGATTGTAATACGGCATTTAAGACTCACTTCAATCTGTCCAGTTCAGTCATCATACGGTATTTTTTCAAAACTTGTTGCAGTTGGCTCGTTTTTAGCATTGCTTCTTAGGAAGCAGAAATATTATTGGTGGCATGTATTGAAGCCCTAGCTTCTGTGCTCAAGGCATTACTTGGTTGAGGCCTCTGTGATTGTGTGAAAAAGCCATGGCAGATGGAAGCCCTAGTAGCAATCAAAGCAGAGGGATGGAAATTAATTTCTCCAGGTAGTAGTGCCCCATCTCACTTAAGGCTGAAACGGCAGACTAGCTTGTGGTGTGGCAAATAAAGCCTTTATGTGCTGGGAACAGAGAATATACATTTAATATGAGTAACCAAAATTATTTTGGAAGGGTAGTATAACACTGGCATGTTGCCATATCTAATATCTGAGAGCCTCTTGTATCAATGTTTTTCATGCAGTCTTCCAATTATATCCATAATATCTTGGTTCTGTGTACATGTATCCTAGTGAAATGCCTGGGAGGTAGGAATTGCTGGACCATTGTGTAACAAAACTGGGGTACAGAAGAGTTAAGCAGCTTGTGGGACCAGACAAGTCAATGCTAAAACTGATTTAGGCCTAGCTCTTTCAAATATTGCATTAAAATCCTAACCCGTCAACTATCTCTTCATGAACACAGTGAAATACCTTTCATTCTATTGAGAAAATTGTGCTAGCAAATATCCCTAACTCTTCAGCAGAGTATGTTTTTAATAGAACAGAGCTTTGTGATATTGTAGGAGGCTTCTTCCAAGAATTTCAAAATTCGAGACATCCCCGTCTCAAAATAAAACTTAGCTCTTACTCCTAGACCAGTTTGAAAACACCATGGTGCCAGTTGCTACCCTCCATTTACTTGTTGGTCCCTGCTTTATCCATGTGCATTAAGCTACATGATTACTCAACTACTTGAAATCCTACTATTGACTTAAGTGCTGTCCTCTTTTCCTAATGCATTGTCTGACCAGTTTCAGTAAAATCTGCCTAATGGTGATTTAATATCTTACTGTTTACAGACCTGGGCAGTCAGTGCATTTTTTATATAACTAAGTTATTTAAACATTAGCAAAATAGAAGTTACCTGAATAAATTCTATGCCAAGCAGTCCTATGGCATAGAACATTCTTGGTCTTTCATCCACTCAGTTACATTTATTTTCTAAAATCCAGCTTTGAAAGCAGGTATATGGTTTCATTGCAGTACTCTAATATGCTAATTAGGGATACTTAATTATACCCACTGAAGCTGGCCTCTTTGCTCTTTTACTTTCAATCCACTCCATTTATCACCTGCAGCACATTCCTCTCTCCTCTTAGTCCCAAGTGTTTCTAAATCCCCATTTCTTCAGGTATCATCATTCTAAATAATCCTTTATAATTGACAACTTTGTCAATAACTGGCAGTGACAATTTACCAGAAAGTACAGTTTAATACCTTCCTTCTTTCAGCCTCCAGGAAGATAGATACACCTGATTGTTCTGCTCATTACTTCAAGTGTCTCACTCTGTGTTTCCCCTCTCATACTGTTTATTTGCATATGTAAAACTTGAACCAGCTGAGTCCCTTTTTAAATTTTTTTTACTTCAACCTACTATATTCCCCTCTTAATGTTTTTAGTCTTTATGTTAGGAGGATGATTCATTGCCATATTAGCTATTATAAAAAAGTGCTTCCCTCTCTTCTTCTGGGAACACAGTGCTTTACTCGCATGTAGAGTGTATGTTGGTTGTTATTCTCTAGGAACACTGCTGCATTTGGGGCAAAGTGCTGTTAATGTAACCAAGGCACAATAAACAGTCAAAAAGCTGCTGAAGAAATTAAATACTTACCTGAAAGGAGGAGTCTGATACTTCTCTAAGGTACTGGGAATTAATTTCTTCCTGGTCCTTAATATATTAGCTTTTCAAGTAATTGTTAGTGAGCCATGAAGAATTTTGCTTTTGTCTATAAATGCTGTATTTATTTGGTTTTGCATTGTTGCAAGAGCTGGGGAGGTTAGAGCAATGAAGTAGTCTACCATACTGTCTTACTACAGCTTGAGGCTCAGTTTTTGGAATGTTGTTTAAATAACATTTTGAGTTCCCAAGTCTGAAGTAAGGCAGGTGGAAAGGGAAAGATATTGAATATCTATTTAGCAGTTGGTCACTATAGAAACGTGCTGTAAAGAGAACAGTTAACCATGGACTTAAGGAGAGAAGAGTGTTGGAACGAACAACAGAGGGTCAAAGGCTCATTTTGTGCTGCTCAGATAAAGCAGTTGTCTGCCTTAAGAGAATAACTGGGGTTACAAAGTGTAATTCTGGGGTGATTATCATTAAATTGCCTTTTTTCTATTACCTAGTATGTCTGCAATGCACATGGGAAGGGCTGCAGCATATTGTTCCTTTGGCCAGCTTTCATTGCTGTAGTGTTTTGTAAACCAGGATGCATTGAGGCATAATTTATAAAAAATTTCAAAGCTCTCAATACGTGTTTGGACGTACTTGGTGCCCATCTGTCTGAAAGGGCCGTTAGCAAGTTGAATTTTACAAAACAGGCTATTTCTGTGGAACCTTTTTTTTTACTGGTGGTACTTTCAATAGCTTGTCTTAAAATCTACAAAGTTTTCTGCTGCTTTTCTCATGTTCGGAAGGTGTGCGGGGTTAAATTTGATAGTGATATCACCACACGTGCTCAGCTCAAGCAGGCGTCTTTCTGCCGTCTCTGGGCCCTGGGTTCGTATGCCCTCTTGCTGCCCCTCACGCTCAGTTTTGCTGCTGTTGTTTTAGGTAAGCAGGACCGGGCTCTCTGCGGTTGTTTCTGCTCTTTATTTGTCACATCAGCATTGTTGCTGATGCTTACCTCCTTAGATGCTGCTGCGTTTCTTTTTCTGTTTCTTAAGCCCCACAGCTCTTTGAGATGCATTCATTGTGGAAGGGGGGAAAAAAGATCTTGTGATATAATCTTGGCAATCAGGGGGTAAACCTGTCCCTTCCAGTGAGGCCCTGTAGCAGCTGTGTGAAGCCTCCTGGCATTTGCCCTTTAATAAAATATCTCCTTTTGTCTTCAGTAAATCTGACAGCAATCAGCTATCGAGTATGTGAGGTCATGTTCCTGCTATGAGGAAAGATTGCTATTAGCTACTAGGATGCACTTCTGAACAGACAATTTTCTTCAGTTTCTTAGCTGCCTTTTTACAATGGAAGTGCAATCTGTTACTAATAAACCTGATAGGTTTATGTTTTCAGGGGCCATTTTTTCTTTTTGTTTGAAAAACCTGATTAA